CGAGTGCAAGTGTCACCTGCCCTTACTCCCTTTGGCAATTTCCGAAGTGGGATCCTTCTTGAAAGGATCATCCGACAGGAGAAGAAGGTTTGCTTTGTTTTATTGCCATGGAGTGTTGCACTGTCTAAACGAACCCTCTCTTGTGCCATGCCTTCGTGGCCTCCGACCTACACCTTGCCCTCGAAAGCTGAGTCAACAATGTGAAGTAGATGCAGCTAGGGAGAGCATGAAACCTGCAAGCCCGGAGTTGATGCTTCGGTTGCATCGGTACATCCTGACGCATCATTGCTTGCCAGCGTCATTCCTTTTGTCGTTTCCATTTGTCAGTTCCGTCGTTTCTGGGTCCGCAAATTCTGTTCTGAATTGTTCGAAGCCTCGAACCCGGGAACCTGCAGCTCCTACTTCTTGGTGCGCGAGCTTCCGTAAGCACAAACCTCGGAAAACCGCCTGAGCCGAGGTATGGGGTCATGGGGCTCTTCCTCCTCTGCTGCGCATGCGGAGCTGTATATGCCCGGGACACAGAAGCCCGTAAACCCCAAAAGGGTCAGGACCCTGTGTCCTAAACGGGGTGCTGGGCCCCTGAATCGCAAAGCCGAGGGCGTGCTGGAGTTGAGGCCGAAGGACTTTTGGTTTGGGACCTTGCCTTTGTGATCAGGGCCGGGCAGAAGTGCGGAGTTCATGATCCTACACCCGCCCTGACATGCCTTAAACACTACGAACGACTACCATTTCTTTGTTCCTTTCCCGTCGCCTTTGTCGGCCCAGCTTTCCAAATGCCAGCCCTCAGGGCACCGTGGGGACCTCACCCGAAGAACCCTAAACTCCGAAACTTCCGGAAGTGCTTTCCGGCTCTGGCAGCAGACGAAGGTTCACTGGTCCACTCGCCGGAAGGCGAGCGGGCACAACCAAGGCGGCCTTGCATTCTTATGGTGCTTGTTCAGCTTTAGTTCTCTGGATTTCAGCTTGAGCTGGCGGGTTCGGTCTTCGAAAGCCAGGTGTAGACCTAGTCCCTCGACCAGAGGGAGTTCTGATCAACAGAGTTTAGGGCTTGGAACGCTAGGACACGCAATACTTTTGCCAGCATAGATCTTGCACTAGCATAGTCACAAACACTGCACGGGTCACGGCCAGAGTATGGAACAATCATTGCAATGATAACATCGTTACAGCAAGCCTCAAACAAGCCACAGCAATCGCAACATCGGCAGCATGAACGCAGCGACGAGGACAACATATTGAGCACATAAACCCCGTAGCTACGAGCACATTGTGCACCACTGTCAGAAAATCCAAGATTCAGAGCGTGCGCAGAAGACCGTTTCAATCCTCACAACATCAGCCGGTGTCCCATGCTTCACAACCCGAGAATAATCACAAAATGCAACAGCGCCACATGAAGCCACAAGCGTCTTAGGCAGTACTCATCGAGAATCACACTTGCCATCCTGGTCAGCCGCAGTGCTTCGCATAGCGACAACCAACTTCCTAGCAAGAGCAGAAACCATGCCACTCATGCTCGTCGCAATGGCGAACATGCATAATCATGTGGTAGTCGTGCCAAGTACTCAATCATCATAGCATTCCCAAGATCTATCACAAGCAGGACAGTAAAGTATGAAGACTTGTGGCAAAGTTCAGGGGTTTACGAAATAACACTGGTCATCCAGTTTAACATGGCAAACCGGAGAAGCAGACTGACCAAACAGGTCACACACCATGTTGGATTCACTAGTCGCATAAGCCGCAACATTTGCAGCATAGTAACCGCGAAGCGTGGTATTCAGTAGTGGGTAGGCGCAACCATCATCATCATTATCATCATCATCATCATCATCATCATCTTCATCTTCATCTTCATCTTCATCATCGTCATGGCCACCGCCACCACCGCCATCATCACCATCGTCATCATCATGGTCATCACCTGTGAATTTGGTAGCCCGGTCCTGTCCCTAGGAACCCCTAAAGACGTGCACTCTTAGTTAGCCCCAACTTAGAAGCACACCCACAAGCCCCCGGCCTGAAGTCTCTGAAGTGCGGCCCCGCCGTCTGAAAATCGAACCTGAACAGGAAACCCCGTTTCCTACACGGTAGCCCCTTCTCCTAGGAACCCTGTTCCTTATGACAGCTCAAGCGAACCTCTGCCCTCCCTCCTCTGTCGCTGTTGAGCCGGATGTCGGCCAGAATCTTCGACTGATGCACCTGTTGTTTGGCGTTGGTTTAACACTCACTAAACAGTATTTTTAAATCTTGCCTCGAAGATTCGAAATTAGGTCGGCTTGTCCGAGGAGAGCCATTGTAGCGACTGTCTTTTCCCTGCTCTGTCAGCTAGATTGCGCTGCTCGTCATACAGAGCGTATTCCCCAATACCAAGGACAGTACGAAGAACTGAACTATCCATGACCTTCGTCAGACAGTCCGCGAGCATGGCTTTCGAATGGACCCACCGCATCTTGCAGTTTTCTTGCAACCGTTCACGAAGAAGCAGACACTTCAATTGAGTACGCATCTCTACACAATTAGGAACAGCGGTCTTCGTGGCTACGTCATATCCACTTTTACAGTCGGTCACAAGAGAGGCTTTGGGAGCTGCTTTCAACTTCTTCTGGATGGGAAATGTCGATTCCCGGGTTCTTTATCCACTCCCAGAACAGCCTCAGCCATGACATTCTGTCAAGTGCGCCACACAACGCTACCACTTCCGCGCTTAGAGTGCTACGAACAACTCGGGAGATTTTCTTGCTGGCCCACGCAACTGGAACAAGGACAGCTTTCTGATTCTGAAGCATACGCCAATCCGTAGCTATCACTAAAGTTCCCTGATACGAGTTATTGTCCTTGGACGAGGCGAACGAAGCATCTGAAAAAGTACAGAAAGTGACATGTTTCTCAGGAATCGGTACCACTTAGCCTCTAACAAGTGCTTGACACTGCCCTTTGTGACCATGGTCTGGAGGAACCCAACCTTTGCCGCTATGTCTGGTCTGGTGTGTACAGCCGCGTATTGAAGACTGCTGTTGAGCCGACGCAACTCATGGACTTCGGAAGCCGTCAGAGGATCCTCAAGTTTAAACCTACGTTCCCTTGGGGCATGAATCGGAGATATCTTTTCAATGTAAGCAGCTTGATCCATCTCAATGCTTCCATCGTCCCACTGTCGAAAATGGATTCCTGTGAACACAAACTCGCCTTCGTCATAAGACCCAAAACTGTAGATCTTACGGAGTTGCTCCACCACTGTACTGAAGTAAGCATCACCACCAGCTATGCCGTCGTCCACGTGAATCCCTAGAACACCATGCGTAGGGCCCCTACGTTCCCCACCCGGTCCCTTGGTGACGAGACTGAACGTGCAGGCATTGAAAGGACTCTGTACGAATCCCAGCTCCTCAAGTGTGTTCTTGAGGGTCTGGAACCACAGAAAAGGGGCATCAACCCTTCCATAAGCACCACCCTCCAAACGACATTGATCCGTAGGACCCATCTTCAAAGCTTCTCGGAGCTCCTCGGGAGGTTTGATGCCCAGTTTCCGCCCATCCCCTTCTCCTTGCAAAAATGCCGTGGAGATGTCGAAGTTGATTAGCTTCCATTTCCTAGAAGCAACGTGTTGAAGAATCAGTTGGCGACCATCTTTGCCTAAGGTTGGTGCGTCATTGGGTATCTCAGACAGATTCGGATCTTCAAACCTTAAAACGACTAGCCTAGCTTTTGCCCTCTGCGGACCCCCTTCCCTTTCAGGAGCCTTCCAGGTTAGGATCCATCTACACCTCATCAGCTGTGAGTCTTCTAGTGTCCCCGCTGCTACCCGACGCACCGTTCGATGGTCAAGCCAAGCTTTGATTTCTTTGTTCTGGGCCGCCTTGAACAGTTGACGCTCCTCTGAATTTAAGTCCCTAAGCCTTACCTCGGTTCGCTTCTTCCTCTCGGTGCTCGCTAGAAGGACATACTGAAGAGCCTGTTCAGGTGTAGGAAGGTCCTTGCGATCAACTTCTGTTTCATGAAGCCCTATTTCCCGTACTTGCTCAGAGTTAGGATGGATCAAGAAGCATTCGGAGTCCCCGAAAAGGAGATCCTCATCTTCTTCCTCAGGAACAGGTACCTCCATAGGATCCAATTCCATTTGCTCTCCATGCTCTTGGTCAGACTTCGTTTTCAGGTTGCTCAGCTGCCTCAACCGCAGGACTAGAAGCTGGGTTCTGAGCTGCTACAACCTCTGGAACATAGCCCTCTATCTCACCTACCCCGTAGCCCTCATCTACAGTCGCGGCAGCAGAACCGGAACCTGAAACGACTGGCGTCGGCGTGGAAACTGGAACAGCACCCTCCATGTCTACGTCTTATCTGGTGGGCAACTCGCCCTCACTGAGAACATCCACTACACCTCTAGTTGGCACCTGGCTGGTGGAGACGTGGGAGGAACGCTGTAAGGCTGCGACGCAGATCGCAAGTGCTCGGGCGAAGCGCGGATTAGCCGGCCACAATGTGAAAGCCACACCACGCGCTCGTCACCTACTATGACCTGGGCAGGACCGTGCCATCTACCGCGTTCACCTCGAGAACGGCTGCCAAGTCGCTGTTGTCGCCAGTACAGGACCCAGCTACCTTTAGAGAAGCTAGGAATTGTCGCATGGGACTTTCGCAGCAAGGCTCTACGATACGCATTGTCGTTGTCTACTCTTACCAAGGCAGCTCGGGCTTGCTCACGACGCTCAAGGCTCTGACGAAAAGCGAGGCCCTCAGGAAGAGAGCTGGTGGCTAGCTCATGGCTTGCCGTCTGCTCATCTGACACTAAACTGGCAGGAAGTCGAGACGATTTCCCAAAGACAGCTTGCTCTGGTGTTGGTGTGAAGCCCTTCACCCTACTCAGAGAATTCTTCGCATGGATCGCAGCTCGCAAACACTGCCTAAAATCAGCATCATCTGTGATGGGCGTCTCGGCGCAAATGCCATCGCGTTGCAACTTCTCTCGCCACAAATCCCCGACATACTCCCCTGCAGGATCAATGTAAAGTAGCTGACGTGGTCCGACCCACTTGAGCCCACTTGGTCCAGCTGTCGGTGAGAGTATCATATTGATCTTCCATGGTCCTACTGGATGCCGTGGCTTGATGAAGCAATGTCGCCTCATCCAGGATGTGTGTAAGCATATACTGGCGACCACTCTGTCCACTCCTATATGCTACATCCATGCCAATGACATCACCGAAATCGGCATCCAAGTGAATCGCTGCAGGCCTTGCAGGCTTGGGACCATACCGACTCAAGACGTGTACTACATGTGAAATCTCTGGCTCCCTGAATGATACGCGGGTCCGCCTTACGTTCAGCTAAAAACTTGACCATGACGCCTGTGTCTGGGTGTCCCAGGTTTTGGTGAAGTCTTCCGAGCTCCCTCTTTTCCTGCTCATCTAACCTTAAGTACCCCGGCCCATGCCTAGGTATCATTCCGGGAGGGTCATCGGCAGGAAGACTCGCGCTCGAAGGTTTCACCGAAGAAACGGGATTCGAAATGTCTCTGGCACCAATGCTCGGTGTTTCTGGAGAAACCTGTCAGCCATGATTGGAGCGTATATGTCCTATTCGCGCTAATTTGTAGAAACTCTAAGCCGTATGCCTTGAGACTGACTCTGGCAGGTATTCCTCGACGCCAACGCTTATATTTAGGGTTCTTCGCCCGTGACTCACAACCACCATCAGCCATAACCTTACCATTATCCCGAGAAACCACTATCGTTTGTCGAAGAGGAATGTCCTGTATCTCGAGACCAGGCTTTGGCGGCTGGACGCGGTTGGTGCCACGAGCCATCACCGCATGCTTGACTTGAAATTGTGGGATCAGCGTTTGCGCCTGCTTTACAACCTCATCTCCATCTCTAAAGTACACTCGGCCCCGATGCGGAACATTTAACTTCTTGAAGATATTTCCCCATGAAGCATCAGTCTGCTGATCCCGAACTTTACTAGCCTCAGGTGCCGGTTGCTTCCGAAGAAGCCGTCGGCGCTTCGCAACTTGCTGAGCATTCTCAAGCGCGGCATTATTACTCGAGTTGAGGTCCCCTTCACGCTTATGGTTTGCAACAAGTAACTCAGACAAACACAGAGGGACACTGCGATCAGAGATCAACGCTGCTGCTGTTTGCTCAGCCAGTCGGAGCTGCCGTATCGGGCTTCGTGGTGCTGGCGTGTTGCTTGCTAGCTGGCTGGGATCGGTCATGAATTGCTCGAGATGTGGTGTAAATAAAGCTCTTCTTGTTCAGAAAATTGTTGCCGGGCATCTTTCCCAACCCCATCACCTCCGAGGGACAGTGAACTGCACGCGTGGCGCCATGCATCACGCTCTGCAGTTCCGAGGCGGACTCCGCAAAGATACTTTGGCCACTGCAAAGATGAAAATGACGCCCATGTTCAATCTGATGTTCGTAGATGTCATAGAGTAGTTCTGGCCAAAATACCTCTGTGGGATCCTGCCTGCCGCAATTGATCCAGACATGCTTGGGCTCGTACATATGAATCATGAACCAAATGCGATCAGCATTCGAAGTCTTAATGGAGAGCGCGCGGCCCTGGCGATTCCGGATGGCATTGCTGACGCCACTGTCCGCCGTAGTGACTTCCAGAACATCAAGCCTTGGAAGCTTGTAGTGCATCTTTCTCTGGAGATCATTCCGCCACTATCAAGTTTCCCAAGTTTTTCTTCTATTTGAAAGATGCACGCGTCAATCTTCCGGCAAGTCGCCAGAGGATGCCTGACATGGTTGTCGAGGCCCAAAACACCTCGATCACCTGTTGATGAGCTCACTTCTGGTCCTCCTCCCGCACGGTCGGCTCCAACTGCTCCAGTTGCGCAAGCTCCCACCGTTGCAGTAGCGCCTTCTTGGTGAGGATGTCGAGTCGCTGCTCCGCGGTCAGCTCCGTGTTCATCGCTGACGTGGGATTCTCGATGTGCGCCGCTCGCTTTCCTTTGATGGTCTCGTTGGCTTTCGCAGCCCCCTCCGCTGAGGCACAGCTTCCACTCCTCGACCCCGTCCTCGCTCTCGAAGAACACCGAGTCCTGGCCTCGACTCGCTGCCGGCATCTGGCGCTGCTGATCTGCCATCTGCTCGGCCCGTGCTGCAGCCTTCCGGCGTGCGAGGCAAAAGTTCTTGTGTGAGATGGCCCAGCTGCTGGTGAGGGATTGTTTGCGGGACATCACCACGGCATAGACCAAGTCCGCCTCGAACGCCTCGGCGAAGGTTTTGGACTTGTGTTTGCCGGCCGTCAACGTCATGTTTCCCCAGGCTCGGAGCGTTTCCATCCCCTTTAAGCGAACAAACTCCACCTCGAGATAGCTTTCGAGACTGGGGCGATCCAGCGCAATGGCCCCGCTCTCGGAACCCTCCAATGGCTCGTCCACGTCGGGATTCACCATCTTGCCCTGCAACTTGAGCGCATCCTTCTTGGAGAGCGGCGTGACAATGATCCGCGAGGGAAGGGTTCTCGATGGCTGAAGCTTCTTCAAGCTGAGCTGGTAGCGGCTGCGGCCGTGGATTGTGTGTCGTGTTGGTGGCTTGGGTGCATGTTTGCACCGTTTGCTCAGTGGCTTGGAAGCAATCTGAAGTAGATGGACGCGGCAGCGCTGAAAGATCGACAACAGACAGTCCCCTGCTATCAAATCTCATTGGAACCTTCCTATCTGGCAGTTGAAGAAACCCCTTCCTAACATGAATCACCGCATCAAGCTCACGAAGTAGCTTGTTAGAAATGAGCAACGGCGTGCTACCGGGGATCACCTCAACTCGCAGCCAGGTGGACTCTGAGGTTGGCAGAAGCAAAGCGTGTTTTGACTGGAGTGTGCTGCTGTTGCCAAATTTAAAGACGATGTTCGACGATGTCTTTCGGACACCGTTGCGGCACTCGGCGTCAAGCCCCTCTAGGATTTCATTGACCCGTTGGCTACCAACTACCGTGCAGCTAGCTCCCGTATCCAAAACACCCTCACTTTGCTGCTTGCTGCTCCTCAAAACTGCTGTTCGTGCTTCTTCGGTCAAAACTTGCGGAGTGAATCTCTGCCTGGATGTCGCCGCGGTGCATCGTCTATGTTTCCTGGCAAGCATTAACAACTTGCGTGCAAGTTCCTCTTTCCAAGTCTGGCTAGAATCCCCTTCAGGCACAGCAGCCATTAGACAAGGAGAGTATAAAGAAGGAATTCTGTTGACCCCCTCAACACCTGGTGCACGGATCCGTCTGTCTTCCTGGCTGTCCTCTTCTCCAAAGTAGGGCTCGGACTCCGCTGGCACGGTGTGGAGAATGTCTGGGAGGTTCGGGGCATAGAGGTCTGAGGTCTCTTGGGTAAAGTGGGTCACCTCCACCTTGGATTCATTGCCTTCAAGACCAACCCTGCGCGGGCATTCCCGCTTCCAGTGTCCTTTCTGATAGCGAACGCGACAGGTCGAGTTTGCAATGCGGTCCGCGAGAGACCGGTTGCGACCATGACCCCACCCCGGAAACGAAGACGATGATGACCCTTTGCCTTTCTTTCCGGATCCTTTCGTCTTTCCATGGCCCCTGGCTGGCCAATATCCACGTTCTGTCGAGCCTCCTGGTATGTCACATACACCGGGGCCAACTCACTGTCCTGGATGGCATCCACGATGCTGTCCTCGAACTCGGTGATGATGTCCAAGAAGTAGCAGAGGAGGTCCTCGTCGCTCGGTTCCTCCTCGGGCACGGCGCTGTAGTAGACATCCTCGGCTCCACTTTCCTCCGTGAAGTGCACGTCATAGATCTTGTTCCGTTCCAAGCTTCGATTTCCTGTAGCATTCTTGCTTTGAAGGTCCCCAAAGCTTTGGGTCCCAACAATCTGATCGCTTTGACTGTCTCGGCGTACTTGAGGTTGCCCTGAGACTCGACGACCGCACGCTTCTTATCCTCCGGGGCGAGCTGGCTGTGGCGAAGCAACACATACTCGCGCACTTCCTCGATGGTCACCTTTCGCGAAAGAAGCTCTTCAAAGAAAGCATCATGGCGTGCTAAGTACGAGTCGTTGGTTTCGTCGTTTTTCTGCATCACTTGAAAGATCGCTTGCTCAAAGTAGTGGAACTTTTTCTCAATCGCGGTTTTGCCCCATGCGCCCCCAAGAGCCTCCACGATGAGTTGAACTCCGCTTTCACTACGAAGCTTCTCTGGAGCAATCCTGCAAATCTTCTGGAAAGCAGAGCCCTCAACCTGCAAAGCAGCTCGTGGCCCCAGATGTTGGATGCTATCGGCAGGCCAGAACTCTTTGAGGAACTTCAAACATTGAGTGTGTTCATCGAGATTGGTAGTGCCCGGCACAAATTTCGGGATTTGCTGGGGGTTAGATAACGGCAGGCCGGGCTCGGCTACCAATGTGAATTTGGTAGCCCGGTCCTGTCCCTAGGAACCCCTAAAGACGTGTACTCTTAGCCCCAACTTAGAAGCACACCCACAAGCCCCCGGCCTGAAGCCTCTGAAGTGCGGCCCCGCCGTCTCAAGATCGAACCTGAGCAGGAAACCCCGTTTCCTACACAGTAGCCCCTTCTCCTAGGAACCCTGTTCCTTTTGACAGCTCAAGCGAACCTCTGCCCTCCCTCTTCTGTCGCTGTTGAGCCGGATGTCGGCCAGAATCTTCGACTGATGCACCTGTGGTTTGGCGTTGGTTTAACAATCACCATCGTCTTCATCATCATCGTCATCGTCGTCACTTTGTTCCACGTCTTCTTTTCATTTTATTATCATTCCTCTTCGTTGGTCGTCGTCATCGCTGTCGTCATCGTCATCAGATGCTCATCATGATATGCGACATCTTCGGAAAATGCATCAACCCAAACTGTCTATCACAATCCTTGTGATGACGGCAACAGTAGCCACGATATAAGTGTTAAAGGAATGGCTAGGGCGGCTATGGCATCACAGTCACCACACTAATAAGCTAAACATCGCAGGAGTTTTAGTAGTTATTGAGTCATGGTAGTCAGGGCCATCAAGAATCATAGCCAGAGGCGTGCTCAAGATTGAAACACCCTGAATAATGATACAATTGACGAGATGCATAGTCATGAAAGTAATTGTAACAATAGTGACGGTCGCATCGCTCAATACCCAGTGCAGTCATTGACGTGATAGTTTCATATCACATAGTCGTCATAGTCGCAAGCTAGTCATATGGATTCCAATGCGATTCTTGATGGCTCCGTAGTCTCAGCAGTTCTATATGTATGCGAAGCATAGCATTCCAGTGCACCCTTTGACAAAAGATGGCTGTGTTTGTTTACTAGTTTGCGGTAGTCAGGAGAAAGATGACGCGTGCAGGACCTGCTCGCTTTAAGAGTTATCATATTCATCATCACAGGCAGAGTTAATCGTGACGTCCGAGCTTATGACAATCGCACCAATCAAGAGGTCGAGGACACACATACTAGCAACAACATCGCATAACCTGACCCTGGTCATGATCACCTTTCTTGCTATCATATCATTAGTTTCAGTCCCCAAGTTGTCAATGAAATGGCTGTAATCACAAACTTCGCAAATGGTCATGCTCGAAAGCATATTTCGCGAGACTGCATCGTAAGCCTAGGGCGCCGACGCGGAAAAGTACACCCTAGAATGAAATACGACATCATGAGAAAGGAAAGGCCTCAGCTCCTGTTCGCCCTTGCGACGCATAGGCCTCAAGCGAGAGCTAATTCACGACTCGAACCTCCCCTCGCAGGGCAAGTTGCTGGAAACCAAGCGTAGCGCTGAGCTGGCGCTCCTGCTTCGGGGACGTGGGTTTCTGAGTCCTCGCAAGGCAAGGGTGTCAGAGACTTCAAAAGCTTCAGAGCCAAGGAGCCCAGACAAGACGCCATGTACACCGACCCCGAGTGTTAACCTGAAGCCAATCCCCTTGCCTCTGCTGCTGACTAGCTCGTTTGTTTCACGGCCGGCTGTCACGCATGTGTCGTGACGGTGTTTTCTGAGCACCGCACAGAAAGCAACCGGGGCCCAAGATCTTGGACATTTTCACGCTTCGCGCTCAAGCTTCAGACCCAGAACTCGCACCAGTACCGAAGCTTGCGCTAAACTTCGAAACCTTGGAGGGCTTCCCTAAAAGTGTGTCGTCAGAGACCCTAGGCATCCGAGCTGGAGAGCAAAGGTTTCCGTGTAGGAAAGGCCCAGTTCCAAAGATAGCAACATCCTTCGCAACGAGAGCAGCCGGAGTAAGGAAACAACAGTGTCGGTCGTGAAGGCAGGTTCATTCGCACATCAAACACATCAGCAGAAATATTTGGCCCAGTTCGCTGAAGCAGCAAATGCTACACCGCACCCCCCATGAGAATTGACCTGGCGACTAGTCAACTAATCCATCATGATGGACAGCGGTAGAGATTCGAGGGGCCAGAGTCTCAGCATAGTGATGGTCGTAGCATATAAGCCCAGGCGAGATCACAGCTGTCATAGTAGTCTTCACATGCAGATGACTCATACAAATCAGAACATTCGTCGGAAGAGCGACCGCATCGGTCGCAGTTGTGTTGACTATCGAATATTGAACGAAGGGAGCGGGGGTGTGGTCCCCAGTCTACTGCAACCACAGAATCACACACATGAGAGCAGTCGCTTTCGTGGTTCCAGCACTCGCGCACTTCAATGCATGGACGCGACACAGCATCTTGTCATGATGTTCAGAGAAGACGGGCAGCAATGGGTCAGCCAACGAAAGCAGACTTGTCGCGGTAGATGCCATCATCGCCATAATCAGCACAGTGACTGTGCTCACACCAGCAACTAAAGTCGGAGGAGTTGTTCTGCGATTCTAGTCAGACCAGCCAGGGAGGTTTACTGGTCACATCATTCATGTCTTGCATAGCACAGAAGGAGAATCCGTAGAGACCAGGCCAAGGCTATGGGCTTTAACCTATGAGTCCTCAGCCGCGGATCTCCTGAAGCCCGACTCCTCCCAAACTGTGTGAACCCCTTACCTTTGAGACGATCACCCCTCAGCCATGAATCTAAAATGCTATTCTCCGCAACCTGTATCCTAGCCAGGAGTGGGTTCCCAGCAAGCAAGGGCCCTCAGTCCTAGAACAGAACTTACATTCCACTTCAAAAAGGCCGACTGCCATGCCTTCCCAGCCATGAAAGTTAAACAGCTGACTTTGGGATTTAGGGCTCTAAGCCAGCCTCGTAGTGACTCGAAGAGCTCATGTTGCTGACGCGGTCTCAGACATTGCATCGGGTGCAAGTTTGCGGAGACAGAGAGCTGTTTATCGGGGAAGTAATGTTTATCACAACAGTTTTAACAACGATGATCCGCCCATCTCCGGACAATTTGCACGGTATTGTAAAACCATAGACATGCAATACACTGTCGCCACCGTCGCTGCTGCCGTCGTTGTTGCCTGCGGCGTTGTCGCCATCCCCGCGCTCCGCTCATCTTGGCCACCATAGTCTTCGTCACAGCTAGCTTCGCCACAAGCATGAATCGTCATCATGATGATGGTGATGATGACAGATGACCACGACCACCACCATCATCATCATCATCATCAACACTATCAACATCACCATGCCCATCACCATCACCATCACCGTCACCATCCCCATCGCCATCAGCATCACCATCATCACTATCAACATCACCGTGCCCATCACCAACACCATCACCGTCACCATCCCCATCGCCATCACCATCAACATCACCATCATCGTCGTCAGCATTGTCATCATCATCATCATCATCATCGTCTCCTTCGTCGCCAACATCACCATCATCATCTCCGTCCGGCTCCTCCTCCTCCTCCTCCTCCTCACAATCATCGTCATCATCATCTTCATGACCAGCATCATGAGCATAATCACCATCACTATCAGCATCACCATCACCATCACCATCACCATCGCCGTCACCATCGCCATCATCATCACCTTCATCCTCGTCATCATCACCAGCATCATCATCGTTGCCATCACCAGCATCATCATCATCATTATCATCATCGTCATCGTCATCATGGTCATATCATCACCACATCCAATACCATAGCCATCATCGCCGTCCTCCTCCTCCTCCCCAAAATGATCATCAACATCACCGTCACCATCACCGTCACCATCACCATCATCATCGGCGTCCTCTCCATTTTAATCTGCGTCTCATCATCACCATCACTACCACCCTCATCTCCGTAATCATCATCTTCAGATTCATCCTTGTCATCCTCTTCCATGACCTCAATGTGCTTGCCAAAGCTGCCATGCCGTAGACGATTAAATCATGTATCCTGGACCCTCGCAGTGGTAGGGACACAACCATTGACTGAATTCGCGAACTTCCATATCTCGCCTGCGACGCAGAGTGTTCCAATGCTGCTGACCAAGTCCAGGCAGTACTTTTTTGACAAACAGGGCAGAAGAACCAGACATGGCACTCACAGCAGCAGAAATGGTATGGTGTGAGGCTAGCCGCATCAGTGTAATATTGCAGGCGTGGGCATCTTGTCAGTCCCTCTGTGTCCAATGGCACATCGAACAAGTTAGTCTGATGCGGACATTACACAAGCCGCCGCGGTGCTCACTATCAGAACGGACATGTTGTTGTCATCATTATGAACTTCATGCCAACGGCTCTAGTTCTGGATCTTATTCTGACCGTTATGGCGAGGAAGAAGATGATATTGACAATGTAATGGCTGTAATGGCCTTGGCGAGAATAACGACGATTGCGGCAGTAATGGCCAACATAAGGGTCAAGTTGGGTGAATGAGGATGGAGATGATGTTCTCGATTGTTCTGCTGATGAGAAAGAAGACTCAGCACTTAAAGATTGCAGTGATGCTACTGCTATTGGTAATGGTGGTGCCGCTGCTGCTGCAGCTGCGCTCCTGCTACTTGTGACGCTGTCGATTACGGCGATGACGGTAAAGATTATGGTCATGATGACGACGACTGAAGGTTCGCTTTCAAGCTCAGCTGCTGTGCCTCAATCCGACGGTTCGTCAAAGCTTGCGAAATCGTTGGCTCCATTGCATGGAAAATGCGCGCAGAATCGGCCAGGCTCTGTTGTGGTCGCACAGCAGGATCTTCACGGATTTGAGGTTGTGGAATTAGGAGCAGGCCGCTTCGCAGAATACTGGAGATCCTCCGGAAAGTCAATGGGTTGCTCGGGCATCCTATGGGTCTCAGGGTTCAAGACGCTTGGACCGACCTTTGGATGGTCAACTTCTTCGAGGCATGTTGCGTCTGGTGCTTTGGTGTTAGTGCTGCTCCGCGCCTGCAATCGAGCTCGAATCGCAAGTG